ATAAAAGATTTTTAACAAATGCACAAATAATCAAATAATATTTAATTTTTTATTTCAAATCAAACATTAAACGCTAAGTACATGATTTATTAAATTTATATATATTTTTTTTGAGTTTACATTTTAATCGCTTTACTTACAGTGCCCCGAAATTAAAAGTGCAGTTATGAAATACACTCCCGGTAAGAAATTTTTCAACTGCTTCCTTATTCGTTTGATTTTGACCTCCAATTTCTCTATTAATCTGATCTTCTGTTTGCTTTTGACCTCCAATCTCTTCATTAATCAGATCGTCCTTTAGACCTTTAATTTCGCTTTCCGGACTTGATTGGCTTTCCTTTTGCATGTTTTGATCAATTTCGCTTAATGCACTTCGTGGAGACTCGGGTAAGTTGCTATTTGTTGACAAATTATCATCGGGCATATCTGTATCGAATGATATGTAATTACTTGCTAATGTAAAATCACCATATATTTTTTTAGACGTTGTGGCTTGGTTGGATAATTCTTGATCAGTTTCAATCGATTCGGGTGTTGAGTATGCAACACTCGTCAATGCGTTAAAAAAACCAGTCAATCCTTGTTGCTGCATTATTAACTTGGGGCGTTCATAAGATGCCAAACCCTGTTGGGTTTTGTGGCGTGTAATAGACATTACAACTGAGTCGGAATATCCTAACTCTTTTAGCACTTGAACGGAAGTTTTTCTACCTGAATGGTTTGAAATATTTCTGTCGCCAATTGTTATTTTTGTATTTTCACAAATAATACGAAAGTAATTTTTCAACGTGCGTTCAGGCAATGCGCGTGTGTAAAACTAATGTGAACTAAATTCAACTAGAATAAAAAAATTTTTTATTAATAAATTTAAATATTACATTTGAGTAATTACAATCAAAAATACAAGAATTCTCAAAAAAATAGTTGATCACGAACTTGCACTTGAAGTACAAGGTTTCAAATAGAAATTTGTAACAGCAGTAGCCGGACGTTTTGTAAAATAAAACTCGTAGTCATCAATAATATTTTTGTTATTCGGTAAACTGATTATTTCAGCTTGTCTATCGTGATCATTTAAACCTCTTTGATTCGTCTTTGACCTATATAATTTAACGTCTATACCTCCATCAAACCTTTTTACGAAGTTACTAATTTTAAGGTCTTGATGTTCTCCACCACGTAAAGCCAAAAGTATGGCATTGTAAAAAAATATGCGTCGTAGTAATCCTTCAGGAGAGTTAAGTTGCATGGTTGGATGTTTTAAAATTTGATCGACTTCATTTATCATAAGACCGTCGGCACCATTTCGTTCGCCCAAACCTGCTGAAGCTAGTGTTTTCAATTTTCCATTAATAACAGTATTCAGGTCATAAAAAACTTTTGGGTTTAATATGTTCACAGGTTTCTCTAATATTGAATGTTCATTAAGATAGCGCCAAATTGCAGCCATGCAATTTCTTATAGAACTTGCACGGTATTCTTTACCATCCTTACGTTTCATCATACACACAAATTTACACAACTGGTCTTCTAAGACCACTTTTGAACTAACGTCCTCAATCTTTCCCTCATACCCTACATCATTATGAAATTCCTCCAAAACTTTAACCCAAACATGTGTCGCCTTATGTGTTGCTTCGACTTTAGAACTTTCACGGATTGCTTTCACTTCTTCAGCCGAAGGTTCAACATACTTAAAAGTCTAAAATTTAAGGTACTTGGTTTAACAATGTCTAATTTCCTAAATACACGTTCAAAACAACAATGAAAAAAATCAAACCTTAGTGCTTATACGGGATGTTTTTTTAGTTGATTTTGGCATTTCTTTTTTTTTCATTTACTAACGGCAAACTTCCTTTTAAGTATTGCACAGCAAAATG